CCCCTGCTCGCTGCAACTAGAGAAAGCCCGCGCACAGCAACGAAGACCCAGTGCAGCCAAAAATAAATAAATAAATATTTTAAAAAGTAAAATAGAATATGCTAAAGGCAAAATGACTAATCCTGACAAATTCTACAATTCACAATAAAAGTAATTTAGAAGTCTGTGGAGGAGGGTGGGATCTTGAAGGAAAAAAGTGAATTAATTAAGCAAGGAAAAAATGGAAGAAGTGGAGGGAGGATAAGGAGGCAAGGAGGCATTGCAGGCAAAAGCACACACTGCAGGACTGAAGTAGAAATATCATGCAGGAGGCATATTGAGGAAACCATGTTGAAACAGATGGTTTACATAAGGCAGTGGTTTTCAAAATACCTTCTGATGAGCCCCTACATGGGCTTGTTGGCAAAGGGGTGAAGAGGCCAGCTACTGAAGTCTTTAAGCAAGGTAGTAGAGTAGATCAATGTTAGGAAGATTGATCTGACGCTGGAGCCAGAGGCTGTGTTGGGAAACCATTCAGTAAGTCAGATGAGATGGCAAGAGCCTAAATGTATCATTGGCCATTGATTTGAAAATAAAAGAGGATGGATGTGTGGGTGCTCACCAAGGAAGAACCAACAGGACTGAGTTACAGATTGGATGGACGATGTAGCAGGGGAAGGAGGCGTCAAAGATCCATACACTGAGAGTGATGGAGAATCTCATGTTGAATTTAAATCCACCGGTACTTGATTGTATGGGAATATGGAAGATAGTATGTTGATTGTGTCCAGATTCTCAAGGGAAATACGAAGTGGATGGAAATATGTAAACTATAACTGTGATGGCTAACTTTGGGATTATACCTTAGGTCTGCAGTGAGGATGAACACATAGCAGACCTGAGAGTTGTATTCTTGTTTACACCTCAGGTCCTAAGGTAAATCGCTTTCTTAGAAGTCACTAAGCTGGAAAGCCTCTGTGCCTTGTGGGGTGCCTGTGTTAAACTGAAAAGCCCTAGGCTCTGTGGCACAGCTAAAAATCTCATATCCAGAGTCTGGGTATTGGCTTCTGGTGAAATAGCATTCACAGGGTAGTATCGTTAGGTAAGGCAGAGAATGTTAGTCAAGTGGCTTCCAGGTGGTGAGGATAAAACCCCCAACAGGAGAAGGCTTGGTATTCCTCTAACCTGGTTACACGAGTCCCAAACCCAGGGTTCAGCTTTGTGAAGGATAAGAAAGTCACCAGGAATTTATAGCCCATCCCCCTCCCCCAAATAATCTGTAAGTAAACTGAAAAAATCTCTTTATCTCTTATATAGAGATATAAATATTTCCTTGCTCTCAGTGTAAGAATGCTTATTTAATGTAAATGGAAACATTTATTTAATGTAAAAGTTCTTAAATATACAGTATGTGTTAAGGGCTGAATTATGTCCCCCTCGCAAAACTTGTATGTTGAAGTCCTAACCCACAGTATCTCAGAATGTGACTGTATTTGGAGATAAGATCTTTAAAGAGGCAATTAAATTAAAATGAGGTATTTAGGGTGGGCCTGAATCCAATGTGATTGGTGTTCTTACAAGAAGAAGAGATTAGGACACATATATGGACCAAGGTATGACCACGAGAGGACACAGTGAGAATGTGACCATCTGCAATCCAAGGAGGAAGGCCTCAGGAAGAAACCAAATTTGCCAACACCTTGATCTTGGACTTCCAGCCTCCAGAACTATGAGAAAATAAGTATCTGTTGTTTAAACCATCCAGTCTGTGATATTTCGTTATGGCAGCCCTAGCAAACTTAATACAGTATGTATTTCAGGAAACTTCATAAACAAAATTGAAAGATAACAATAACCTAGAAAAATATTGGCTAACATACAAAATAGACAAAGAAGGGCCTCAAATCAACAACACTGTAGTAACAGTGAGCACACCTAGCACCCAGATCTGGGTCTTAAATACCATCATCCAATAAAAGGAACCGAGGCTGCTTGGAGGAGTGGCTGATTCTAGGAATGCGACCAGAAGTACACAGTATGAGCCTGGCGCATTATGTGTAGTGCCAGAAAGTAACAAATTGCTAAAAAAAAAAAAGAAGAAAAAAATCCCTTACAATTATGGAGGTATGTCAAATGGACACAGGAACTAACCGAAAGATGTCCCAATGTTCAAAGCTTTTGAACAATAAAATAAAGTATTTATTGGATCAAAATCCAAAGTGTAAAATAAACCTACGAGTCCATATTGACATAAATACATTATTGAATAAATAAATAACTGGGGGAGAATAGACAAATCTCCCGTGCAGAAAAATTCCAAATAATTTATATAGCTACTCCACTCTCAAGGAGGTAGAGGGCAACTCCCCACTCAAGCGTGGCCTGTGCATAGTGACTTTCTTCCAAAGACTACAGCATGGAGGTGGTGGGAGTAACCTTAAAGTTACCAAATCTAACACACACTACCTCAGCCTGGTGGTCAAGGTTAACATCAACAGTGATAAGCGATACTAATAGTATGTGCCCTTAATATGATGAGATGGAACTTAGCCTCTGTGATCTTCCTCCCCCAAACCCACACCTCAGTCTAATCATGAGAAAAACATAAGACAAATGCCAGTTGAGTGGCTTCCTACAGCATAGTTGGCCCATATTCCTCAAAACTGTCAACATCAGGGACTTCCCTGGTGGCACAGGGGTTAAGACTCTACGCTCCCAATGCAGCCGGCCCGGGTTAGATCCCTGGTCGGGGAACCAGATCCCACACGCACGCCTCAACTAAAAGTTTGCATGCCACAACTAAGGAGCCGGCGAGCCCCAACTAAAAGGAGCCCATCTGCTGCAACTAAGGAGCCTGCAAGCCCCAACTAGGCCCAGCGCAACCTAATTAATTAATTAAACAAAAAACACACGGTATAAAAAAAACCATCAAGATCATTTCCCAAGCAAAGTCTGAGAAACTTACAGCCAAGAGGACCTAAGGAGGCAAGACAACTAAATATAATATGCTACCCTGGATGGGATCCTGGGACAGAAAAAGGATGCTAGGTAAAAACAAAAGACATCTGAATAAAGTTTGGATTTTAGTTAATAATATATTAATAATGATTTATTAATTATGATAAATGTACCATACTGATACAAGATGTTATTGATAGGAGTAACTCAGTGTAGGGTATTGGGAATTATCTGTACCATCTTCCCAACTTTTCTGTAAAAATAAAACTATGCTAAAATACTCTTTTTAAAAAATAGATTAAAGAAAGAAAAGTAGACAACAGAATATCATACACTCATGTATCAAAAAACCAGTGAACACTTGAGAAAAACTCATACTTACTGGTGCTCAGAAATGCACATTAGAACATATAAAGCGATTATTTTTCTCCTATTTAGCTGGCAAACATTTTTTAAATGATGATACACACGATTGGCAAAATGTATAGGAATGCAAAGTGGAACTAGTTCTCTGGAGGGCATTTTTGGTAATAAGTAGAAATGTGTGTACTCTTTGAAGCAGCAACATCGCAACCAGGAAGTGTATATCAGTGTGCATAGAAATGTTTTGCACAGTATTATGTGCAATAGCAAAAATCTGGAAATTAACCAAAAGCCTATAAATATAGGACTGTTTAAATGAATTATGTGAATCTCAATGTGGAATGTAATGAAGGTATTAATACTGTAGACTAATATTTGAAGACAAAAAATTCCATGATGTTATGTGAAAATGCCAATTGTAAACCATATATACTCTGTCATGCCATTTCTGTATCTGACACACACACACACCCTCTTGGATCTGGAATTTGGTGAAATAATTGTAACAGAGAGCATTAAGTTAAGTCCTATTAGTGATTGTCATTTTATAAATGCTTTAAGAGTTACTTTACAATGGATAAAGATGTGGTGTGTGTGTATATATGTATATCTATATCTATATATATATAGATATATATATAAACACAACAGAATATTACTGAGCCATAAAAAAAAGGAAATGATGCCATTTGCAGCAACATGGATGGACCTAGAGATTGTCATACTGAGTAAAGCAAGTCAGACAGAGAAAGCCAAATATCATGTGATATCACATATATGTGGAATCTAAAAAAGAGGTACAAATGAACTTATCTACAAAACAAATAGAGTTATAAATGTAGAAAACAAACTTATGGTTACCAGGAGGTAAGGGGGGAGGAATAAAATGAGAGATTGGGATTGACATATACACACTACTATATATAAAATTGATAACTAATAAGGACCTAGTGTACAGCACAGGGAATTCTACTCAATACTCTGAAATGACCTCTATGGGAAAAGAATCTAAAAAAGAGTGGATGTATGTAAATGTATAACTGATTCACTTCGCTGTACACCTGAAGTTCACACAACATTGTAAATCAACTATACTCCAATAAAAAAATATTTAAGTTATTTTAAGATATATTGTAATAAATGTATCAAGTATTGTTTCACAGCACTGTCATAATTAGAAATTAGTGCTTCTCAAACCAATGGAGTGAAGGGCCACTTTTTCCATTACCCCAAATTATATGTGTGCATGCATGTTATATTTATGTTTTAGGTATACTACACATGGATAAAAAGTAGGATTTGCATACAGTAAAGTGTTGCCTCTGGTTATTTCTGACTGGTAGCATTAGGGCAAATTTTATTCTTTTGGCAATTTTGTACATTTTCCAAATGTTCAAGGATCTACAGAATATTTTTTGTAATTAGTAAAAAAGATTTTAAATGGCAGTTTTTAAAAATAAATCTTTTTTTCCCATGAAACTACCTAGAATATTGAAACCATCTTTTTGTTTAACAAAAATTGTATTTTTAGTTTGCTTTTCTGAGTGGATTTAGTTTATACACAAAGTTTTCATACACATTTACACTGTCATATGTTCTCCATGTACTTTCTGCTTTTCTATTAGGTGAAATTTTCATGAGTTGTTAAAAGCATTATTATGTTTGATTAGTCCTCTTGTACTTTTTACTTTTAGGTTGGTGTTTGGAATGCTTTATCCTGCATATTATTCATACAAAGCTGTGAAAACAAAAAATGTGAAGGAGTATGTAAGTATAGTTTTGTGAGTGATCAATTCTAGTTGAATGTATCCATTATATACAATACTAGAAAAACTGCCATTATTTTAGAAACAGCTGGAATAATGTTTTGGGTTAAAAATGTGATATAAATGTAATAAAGTTAGTCTTTTTTAAAAACTAATTTTGAATACAGTTGCAAAGTGGAGTTTCAAAAATAGTTTGCTGTCAGTTGGAATTTAAATAAGTATGATCCCCAAATGAGTAATTGGATCTCTTATTCATTTAGACTTTAAGTCCCAGTAAAAGTAAGAGGTTGGGAAATTGTTTTTTAATCTTATAAATGGATAGGTACACCAAGAATATCTCTCTGGTCCCAAAACCTTTTTTCTTCCTTCATAGTTGTTTTGTCCCTTTCTAATTGATTTAAATACATAGATACCTCATGACTACTGATAATTACAATCTTTTTTCTTCGTGAATCATACTATATTTGTAATGATTTCCTCTTCAGTCATCAATGTTTCTTTTCTCTTTTACTTTCCTCTTCCCCATTCCTTAACTATTTTTTTTATTTCACTAATTTTTAAAATTTTCTTCCTTTCTTTATTTTTCATTCATTTATTTACACATTTCTCTAAGTTCTCCCTCCCAGTTTTATCCATAATGTTCAATGGTAAATGGGCTTCCCCACCTATAAATCCTGGCATAAGTTTACTATTTGTGATGAAGGGAATTTTCAGAGAATAGCAAAAGCATAGCTTATGAGTGGTTAATCAACGGGGTAAGCAGTGAACACTGAGAACTGCACATCAGTAGCTGTGGTTCTTCTTTTAATTGAGGTGACATTCAGGTAACATAAAACTAACCATTTCATAGTGAACAATTGGTGGCATTCACTACATTCACAATCTTGTGCAAACACTACTTCTGTCTACTTCCAAAATATTTTTCATCACTCCAAAATAAAACAACATACCCATTAAACAGTTACTTATCACACTGCCCCTGCCCCCCAGCCCCTAGCAACCACCTATCTGCTTTGTTTGTATGGATTCTGGGTATTTTATATAAACTGAATCATATAATATGTGACCTTTTGTGTCTGGCTTCTTTTTACCTAGGGTAATGTTTTCAAGATTCATCCACATTATATCATGTATCATTATTTCATTCCTTTTTATGGCTGAGTAAAACTGTATGCACATAGAACATTTTGTTTCTCCATTTATCCATTGACATACATCTGCATTGTTTCCAGCTTTTTAGTATTACGAATAGTGCTGCTATAAACATTTGGGTACAAGGCTTTGTTTGAGTATCTAATTTCAGTTCTCTTGGATATATAGCCATGGTTCTTTACAAGGGATCTTGGATGGTACCCTTTTCATCCAACTTATCAAATGACCAGAGAACATATTCTTTATTCTATTTGTTCAGGGTAGTTCTTGTTTTTTGAGTAGGGGGAGGCTCTGAAACCTTTATAGCTAACCCATCCTATTGAACATTTATATTCACTTTTTATCTTCTGTATAAAACTAATTTTGAAGTAAAGTATATACAAATTAGTTAGAATGGTGGAATATACCTAGCAGAGGTAGAGAGGTTATTCAGTTGAGCTCTGAAATTTTTCTGTCCTTTTAATACATATATTTATCTCTTGGATCTAAGATTGGTGCAGTCTTAAGAGATGGAACCACATTAAGTCCTAGTAATTTAAAGTAATTGTTAATGGCTTGAAAGGCCATGTATTAATAAATAAATTCTTCACATATTGTTTTATGGTACTGACATCCTTTCGTTTTTAGAAACAAGCAAGTTACTTTAGTTAACAGTGCTTCTCAAGCTACCTGTGGTATAGGACCAGTTTGGGAGTTTTTGTTTTCTTTTTAAATAATTTCCATTAAGTCATAGACAAATACTTTTTAAAATAAAATTAAAAAGTAATTACTAGAAAAATGAAACGAAACCCCAAGAACATACGAAATACAACCCCAACCTTTTTTTTTTTTTTTTTTTCCCGTGGGACGCGGGCCTCTCACTGTTGTGGCCCCTCCCATTGCGGAGCACACAGGCTCCGGACGCGCAGGCTCAGCAGCCATGGATCACTGGCCCGGCCGCTCCGTGGCATGTGTGATCTTCCCGGACCGGGGCACGAACCTACGTCCCCTACATCGGCAGGCGGACTCTCAACCTCTGTGCCACCAGGGAAGCCCCCAACTTTTTTTTATTATTAGATTCAGTAGACCTGAAATTACTGACAATTTTGTATTTAAAGCAAAACAGCAACAATTCACAGCCTTGCACTAGTCCATAGACAACACTTTGCCTTATGGTGTCATATTTGAATTTAATTGGAATTCTCTTTTGAAAGATAAAAATAAGAGTTGCTCTTCATTTCCAAACACCACGAAAATGTGAGCTGGGAGTATACAACTGGCTAGTACTTAATAATTGTACAGGCCAAAACAGTGATCCTTATTTGAAATGTTTATGATACTGTTATTAAATGAGATCCTTTTTCTGAACCTAATTAATTATATAGTTGAAGTACATGGTGATGTTTCTCAACTCTGGGTCCATCTTACCTATAAAGTATTATACACCCAGGGTAAACAATAACTGGTAAGCCTCTGTGTGTCTTTGTGTACCTATTTCTGCTTGAGGTATTCTCCTATCTTCCTTTCCAAATGTGCAATGTTTTTGTTGGGAAAAAAAGTTAAGTACAAGTTGAAAATGAAGCTCTAATAATATAAGGGTATTATCAGCAGGCACACAAATAACCATCCCCTAAAATAAAAGGTAAGTTAGCAAGAAGAAATATAAAGGTATTCATAACAAATTATAATAAAAAGAAACAGATCCGTTATGTGTTAATTAATGCTAAAAGGGCAGAAAATATGGTGTTATTTAGGTATTGGTCTAAGAACCATTATAAAAATATTAGTCTATTTCTTACTATGCGTCAATTTAACTTTATTAATGTTAACTTTTAAGGACTTAAAAACATGGATTTGTGAGTTTTATCCCTTAATGCAACACTCAATTTTTATTACTAGATTGGTCTATAAATTTTTATTACTAGATTATTTTATAAATTTGGGATTAATAAGAATGGTCTAACCCTGAAATTTTTTTTAAAATTTATTTATTCATTTAATTTTTGGCTGCATTGGGTCTTTGCTGCTGCACACGGGTTTTCTCTAGTTGCTGAGAGCTGGGGCTACTCTTTGTTGTGGTGTGCAGGCTTCTCTTTGTGGTGGCTTCTCTTGTTGTGGAGCACGGGCTCTAGGCGCATGGGCTTCAGTAGTTGCGGCTTGCGGAAACATGGATTTGTGAGTTTTATCCCTTAATGCAACACTCAATTTTTATTACTAGATTGGTCTATAAATTTTTATTACTAGATTATTTTATAAATTTGGGATTAATAAGAATGGTCTAACCCTGAAATTTTTTTTAAAATTTATTTATTCATTTAATTTTTGGCTGCATTGGGTCTTTGCTGCTGCACACGGGTTTTCTCTAGTTGCTGAGAGCAGGGGCTACTCTTCGTTGTGGTGCGCGGGCTTCTCATTGCGGTGGCTTCTCTTGTTGCGGAGCACGGGCTCTAGGCGCACGGGCTTCAGTAGTTGTGGCTCTCAGGCTCTAGAGCATAGGCTCAGTAGTTGTAGCATACAGGCTTCGTTGCTCCGTGGCATGTGGGATCTTCCTGGACCAGGGCTTGAACTTGTGTCCCCTGCATTGGCAGGCGTATTCTTAACCACTGCGCCACCAGGGAAGCCCCCTAACCCTGAAATTTTAATTCTGCTTCATAAGATAATGTAACCTATGGAAGAGAATCTATTAACATTCTTACTCAAACTGATGGAAAAACTATAAGACTTGACATGTACTGTTATACATACATATCTGCATATATGCTTATTTGGAGATATACTTCACCTATTGCCTTGCACAGCTTTTACAGAATAACTCATAAACAAAGTTAAGAATTATCTATACATAATTTTGCTACAGTATTACAACTCTGGAAAAAGTTTTTTGTTGTTGTTGGCAAGTACCAATGGCAAGGGCCAATTTGTTGTTGACACTGCGATGGAGCAAAATCAACAAGGGAATTTGTTTTTCTAACCTTATATCATTAAGATTTCTAGTATCTCTTTCCTGTTTCAGCCCCAGAGCATTATTATTATCACTTTTAGGGTCATTTAAAAGCCTTTTTTATCTATAGCCTGTTCTTTTCTGTTTTTTAAGGAAGTTTTTAGCATTTTTGAACAATATTAACCAGGGTATCTGAAAGTCTTAATTATCTTGGAAAGAACATCAAGGAGCTAAAGCTTCTAAGAATGTCCAGGTGTTCCCCTATTCAGAGCTATCCTCAGTAAGGGATTCAATCCCAAGATGTAACTGCTGAGACTTAAATGCTATTATTGGAAAAAGTTTTCTTAACCATCCCTTTGGGAATATCAGAATCATGAGTAATTGAAGAGAAACTAGGCAACTAGAAAGGCAGGTGGCTGGCATTGGTTTGATTATTACATGGTAATCAACTCTGCTTCACAAATTAAACGAGAGCTACAGCGAATGCAAAAATAGGCACCAAAAGAGGAAAGGCAGGAATCTGCTTTTGACAAGGAAATTTGATACAGCTCTAGAGACCTCCTGGTGACCGAATTGTCTGCCATCAAGTCTGCTGAAGAGACTAAGCAGATATAATACTAGAAAGATAACATCTTACATTTATATAATTTCCTACCAATTTCAAAATACTTTTGTATATTACTGTTTCCAATTGCTACTATAACAATTACCACACACTTACTGGCTTAAACCAACACAAGTGTATTCTCTTACAGTCTCTGAGGTCAAAAATCTGAAATGGATCCACAGCTACATTCCTTGGTGAGGCTACAGGGGAAAATCAGTTTCCTTATCTTTGCTAGCTTCTGTAGGCTGCCCACACTCCTTGGCTTAAGGCTGTATTCCTCCATCTTCAAAGCCAGGGACACTTGACTGAGACCTTCTCAAGC